TAAAAATTATAAAAAGGGAAACAATTAAGGTAATAATTTTTTTTATTTAGGATTTTTTTATTTTGTGGCCTTAGAACATAGATTAAACGTGTAATAATGTACTTTTTTATAATTAATATACATAAAAATTAATAAAAATTAACTTGAATTTAATTAATTAACTAATTAAACTGTTTATATGTAATAATAACATTAAAATTAAAATTAATTTTTATTATTTTTTATGTAAATTAATTATAAAAATATAAATTTATTATACGTTAAACAAACCTTTTTATTTAAATCTCAATTAAATATCAATATTAAATCCCTAATTAAATTAAAATTTGAAAGTCATAAATCTCCTTAATTGGTGATTAACCCCAGCCATTGATTAGGTTTTTGCATATTTAATTATATTGATGCCAAAAATAAAGGAAAATATGCAGGTTATTGTACCTGAGATGATATAGAGTTCCTTTCAGCTAACCTAAGTTTACTGTAGACCACTAATATCGTGATACATGTATGTTGCATATTTAATGATTTTAAGGGTTATTATGTTTTGGTACCTCAACTCTATCAGGATCAGTATCCATATTCAAAAATTTCCTCCCGCTGTCCCACACGTTGCTCCAGAATTGCCCTTCTGGCATCACGTTCTCCAACAGCTTCCATAGTCTGAAGTGGACTTCTGACTAAGAATATCACCAGGAGCCCACTCCAAGTATAATGGAGCATCCCTACGTTAATAGGAAGAAACCAAATTAGTCACTTATCAAAAGATTCAAAACACTTAAACACATAACGGTTATAATATAAGCACACTATAACCAGTGATATAGAGACTACAACCTTAGATTTCATGCTGTTTTCTGCTAAAAGAAACAATCAGCGTATACAATTAGTCCTAGAGGCAACAAGCGGAGTCATGCTCTTGCCAGAAAGAGATTTCCTGGTCCAATATAACCAGCTAGGCATTCTTCCTTTTTGCCTTTCTGTGATGGATGTAAGACGTTCAGGTTTTTGGACTTACTGCTTAAATAATTGTCGACATTTTAGTGTAAGTTCAGCACTTATTTGGCATAGAGTCGAAAATCAGGGGTTTAGGGTGTGAATTAGGGTTTAAAGTCTAAAAAGGATAAAGAAAATACTGTCTAGATGATGGATCAATAGACCAAATACGAGGAGGTTTAGTTTATGAGAGACAATCTGGCAAGAGATATGGTAATGTCACACGAGCTTCAGCTGGTTCTAGGAATAACAACCTTAAATGTCATGCATAAAGAGAGTCATTTAAGGAAACTACTAAGCATTATACTTATTATATCATCTAACTCACTTATAGTAAAGCAGATTGACTCTATCAGTTTCCTCTAGCTTGCCTTGTTGAGAAAAAATGGTTCATCAAAGAGAAATTTACTCTTAAACAAACAGAATGCAGAAGAAAGGCTTTATAAAGTGAAATGTACAAGTTGAGGAAAAGGAACCATCACCTATGAGTTCATTTCAAATTCTCAGAAATGTTATTTCTACTTGGTAAAAGATGCAAATTCCCCCCAAAATTATTGTGTTAAAGCAAATCGCTATTCAAAAAAATTGTTGACACAATTTGCCATTCTAAATTTCCATTTTTAAGAAATCAACCTAAATTTAACAATTACTGTTAACTTTTCATTAGACTTCAAGAGCAATAGTTTAATAGAATCTAACAGCAATCATTAAATTCAAGCTGATTTTTTAAAAACAAAAATTTAGAGTGGTAAATTGCATCAACACTTTTTTTGGATATTGATTTGCTTCAAAACAACAATTTTGGAGGGCAATTTGCACATTGGGCCTTTTTACTCATCTAAACTCTGAAAACCATGCTCAACATAGGCCAATAAAACTGAACTTAGAAAAAGCACAAGCACATCCTTATAGCCCATAAAAACAATGATCAAGCAACTTAAGGCAAACAATTTTATATAAATAGGATCAACCATAATTCCAATCTCACACAATATATAACTTTTAACAGTACCTTTCTTCACAAAAGAACTGAAACATTTCTAAGGAACCCCAAAATTCTCCATAAAAGAAGACTAAATCCATATCCATTTGGTGACAGAATAGTGCAGAAGACACTTTTTTGACTTTCATTCATCTTGCATGTGAAATTTTACAGATAGGATATGGAAAATGATTCTGATGGAGAAACCGAAGAGGTTTGTGCCTTGGAATACAACTGTCATGGGATTACCACTTACATGTTTCAATTATACAGTACTAACATAAAAAAACAAAATTTGAAGCAAGAATAGGATAATAAGTACCTCGCTGCGGATTCTGGAACAGTGTAAAGGACGTAAGCAATTCCCTTGGATCATTTTATATCGCTATCAACAACTTGATGGACCTGTGAGACATTGCCAAATTTGCTGAAGAGCTCTTCCAGCTTATGTAGTCATTGCAAATAAAATAAATTTAATGAGAACAGATAAAAGGAAAGATCTATCAGATAAAAGGCCATGTTTTAAACAAGAATAGCATAGTAATAAGATGAATGGTTGCAATATAACATACGTTGCTGCATATGGAAGATTGCAGACATAAAAAAAAAAAAAGGCCAGTTCCAATAACCTCATCATTATTATCTTTCAAAGTTGATTATGGGTTCCCTGGGTCAAGAATTTTGCTGTAACCATCTTCTGAAGGACCTTCTTCAGCCTCTGCTTCAGCTACATCCTCTGAGAGGCAATCATGTTTCTTCCTTTATGATCTTTATCAAAATCCTGTCCCTGGAGACTTTCCTCAAGAGAATCACCTTCATCATCACTTTTTCCACGAGCATCCTCATTCTCAGTATCAATTTCTGCTCACTACTACTAACATCATCATCACTTTCTGAGTCTGACCAATCTTTCTTCACTCTGCTTTTGAAATACTCCATGTCTGAAATGACATCATCATGAGCAAGATTCAGTGATTTTTTAGATGCATTACTCTTCAATGTTACGTTGGCTTTAATTTAGCTCAACATCCTCTGGAACAGACTTCTTTTTGCCTTCTTTCCCACCGTTTCCTTCTCAGTAACTTTGCTCATTTGTTTTGCTGAAGGTGAAATTATCCTGTCATTTGCCCACGTGTTTTACTTAACCCTTGGCTGCATAACTTCAAGAAATTCTTGAAGCTGAGGGTCATCATTCCGCTGTTGTTGAGACTCTTTTTCTCTCCTTTAGCACCATCAAGGCCTGAACTTTTAGCACTATGAGTTTTGTTTCTTTGAGGAATACTGACTCATGGTTGATAAGCACTTGGATCTCCAACTTTGCAAGCAATCTGAAAGAGAGAAAATGAGGCATGTTGCTTCCCAAATTTAAAGCCAAATTCAGTGTCCAGTAATGTGTTCGTTTCCCTATATGAGTTAGCTGAAATTTTGCAATAAGTTGTACAATTTTGCCATCGGAAATTGGTCTCCTGGACAGCTGACGAATAAACAATGTTTGCAACCCAAGACAACATTAGGGGAATAATAAAAAATTCATTTACCTAAAAAAAGTCCCAATTTTTATGTTCAATGTTGTACTTTCCATGATTCTTCTACAAGCAGACACCAGCAATAGTTCAACTATGTATTTAGAAACGTTAACTTTTAAGACAATATGCATAAATAAGTGCGCAACACCAAGCTAGGATTACATCATTTCATGTAAGACACACAGTTCTGGATGCCGATACACTGGCATTTTGAAATCAAGCAAAAGGGAAGTACTCTTTACATTCCAAGTTCCATCATCAGCATCTTAAATTTTATGTTTCTTAAAATGCAGCATTAGTTTCAGGTTCAGCATATGGGCTTGTAACCCCCAAGGGATAGCTCAATGATTTAGAATTTTAAATTCTAAATTGGAGAACTCAAGTTTGAACCTTGATTTAGGTGAAAGAGGGACTTAAAAAAGAAGGAAGGGCTATCCTCTTTTGTATAGAGTATAATCAAATATACCAAAAAAAAAAAAAAAAAAAAGTACTAAGAAAACTCAAAAT